TTGCCTTTCATTTTCTTCTATCAACTTTTACTAGTACTTTGTGAGTGTATACCGATAGAGCAGGGATTTTTTTATAAGGACAGGCTTCTATATGTTTTATTTTATTTTATTATCAAATATTTACATATATGGATGTTACACAAAGACAGGGTCGGTCGCTAGTGTTTGATAAACAAATGAAACCTTATACAGTTGAATTATAACATCTCAAGAGTTTATTTATTTTTTATTTATGTACACTTTATTGCACCATTTATAGAATAGTAAACACATTTAACTTAAGTGTTCTTCCAGACAACCTTTGGGTAGAGAACATTGAGAAAACAAAGAAAAATAAAGGGTAGGTGGAGCACTATTATATTAGTACTAATTATATATAAACAAACATATACAAAGATATATACATATACATGTATATACATATATATACATAAACAAATACATACATAAACATACACAAACTTAAAAGTACACATACAACAGGAGAGAGTGACACTGGAAGATGAAGATAGAATATGGGAAAAAATTGTTACTTAAAGGGAGAGATAATGGGCTTTAACAGAGGTTTTGAAACTAGCGAGAGATTGAGCGCACCGTATAGAGGTAGGTAGTGAGTTCCACAGACGAACTATTAATAAAAGAAAGTTAGTAAATTTGAGACGGAGATTATTGACACTGCGTGAAGTTTGGCCATTGGCCTCACTAAGAAACACAAATCGTCTTTAAGATAATCAGGAACAATGGGGTTAAAAAGAATCGCGTAAAGGAGAGATAGGATATGTAAATTACGACGAAAACGGATAGGGAGCCACTTGAGTTGAGTACGAAATTGAGAAATGTGATCATACTTGCGAAGACCAAATATGAAGCGAATACATAAATTTTGAAGACGCTCAAGCTTGTTTAATTGCTCTTCAGTAAGGTCTAAATAACAGGAGTCGGCATAGTCAAGAATGGGCAGGAGTAAGGAGTGTGCAAGCGCAATTTTGGTGGTAACAGGAAGGAAATTGCGTAATCTATTCAAGGCGCTAGTAACAGCAAAAAATTTTTTGCTAACCTCTGAAATTTGCGGAGACCACGATAAAGTACTGTCAAAGATAATGCCAAGATTTTTTACTTTTTTTTTGTAATCTATTAGAACTCCATCAAAAATCAGAGGCGAGAGACTCTCCAAGGAAATTTTTGAAATAAGCCTGCTACCTATAATGATGGCTTGTGTCTTTAAAGGGTTTACAACAAGACCATAAGATTTACTCCAGGCTGATATATGTGTAAGATCAGTGTTAACAGTAGATATTGCTAAAGCGATATCAGCGAGAGGGGCCAGAGAATAAATTTGGAGATCATCTGCATAAAGGTGGTAGGAAGACTGAAGTTTAGAAGAGATAGTGCTAATAAATAAGGCAAAAAGAAGAGGAGATAAGACGCCACCCTGCGGTACGCCAGCAGACGTATGGCACCAAGAAGACAAAACGTCATCAATACGAATGCGCTGCTGACGTCCAAACAGGTAGCTACGAAACCAGTCAATTGCCACTGGAGATATGTTGAGAGAGGCCAACAATTCTAATAAAATATCAAAATCAACAGTATTAAAGGCGTTGCTAAAATCAATAACGTTAGGACAGTTAATTATATCGTCTGTGATTTTAATAAGAGCAGTCGTCGTACTATGACCAGGGCGGAAACCAGATTGAAAAGGATTTAAAAGATTATTTCTAGTTAAGTAATAAAAAAGTTTAATACGTTACGGTAAAGAAAATGTTGCGCCAACAAATGGCCCGGCTTAATCCCAATGTTAACGTAACAGCGCACCTGTGTATGTAAAAAACCGCCCCAAGAGAAAGTGGGGTGGAAAGTAATTTAGGGTGATACACAGTATTGACGGGAGCCCCCGGCCTCGCCGTAATTACGGCCCTTCCACGGGTGCACGTTGAATGAACCGACCCATTCAGGATCCGGGGCCCGCATAAAGGGGGCATTTACCTCAAGATGGTAGACTGCCACCGCCACTCAGTAACAGTCCACCCGTCTTAATATTGTAAAAGAGTTTTAAGAGATTTTAATATTGTAAACTTTAGCTAGTTTTAGCCGACTTCCAAAAGAGGAGATTCACAATTATTATTTATGTATGTTTTTAAATGATTATATTACTTTTTATGATACTTAGAGCAGCAAACAAGCTGACGATCCGCCTGATGGAAAATGGTTATGTGATAATCTATTATTAATATGATAAAGAGGTAAAGATTGTAAGTTTGAATGTTCGAGGCAATCTCCGGTCTACTGACTGATTATAGAATTTTTACCGTCTTCAATTTACTGTGGCTAATTATTAAAAAAAAAAAAAATTCCAAAATAAAAAGTGGTCTATAGCGCCCAGGGATAGGAACCTTGCTAACAGTGAAAGATTTTTTTGTATACAACTTAGAATGGCAAACAAGCTGACGGCCCACCTGATGGAAAGTGGTAACCAATGCCTATATACATGAACAGTACCATGGACATAACAGAGTATATTGTTTCGCCCATGATACCCCCCATGCGTTACCATTCCTGAGGACTCAGGTGTTATTCCTCTGTACCCTGTAAATTCATGCCATAAACCACCCTTCAAACCGAAACACAGCCATGCAAACACAACTGCTTCACGGTAGAAACGCGAATGGGAGAGAGGTGCCCAAGCAATCGACTTTTGTACAAAGTCTCCCTCTGGTGACTCCCATTATTAACATTATCTCTCCTCCCCACTCATTCCTACTAGGTCGATTCACTAACCATTCAGAGGCTAAGAAGTTAAGTACCCCGTAAATTCTCAGACGTATAATTTTCTCGTAGCAATGGGGGATTTTGAGTTGAAATAAGGGCCTCTTGCGGCTAGAGATTTTAATTACCCACCGCGAGTTTAAGTGTTCAAATTGAATATTTATTTACTTCTGCGCTTTATTCTTTTCCCCGGTCACGTGAACAAAGTTTCGGCTAAAAATTGATACAAAAACAATAATTTATAATGGTGTGGGATGCGTTAGCTCCAAGTCATTTTTTTTTTATACAACTTAGAATGGCAAACAAGCTGACGGCCCACCTGATGGAAAGTGGTAACCGTCTATCTAGATCGTTCTCTTGTTCGGGTGCTGCGGCAGTGACAGCGGAAACAATAAAGAGGCGTAAATACTCACATATTGGGGTCTTATTGTTTTCTGCCATTTGCTGTAGAGACGAATGGGATATGGCGTGAATTTACTGGGTACAGAGGAATAACACCCGAGTCCTCAGGAATGGCAACACATGGGGGGTATCATTGGCGAAACAGTATATTCTGTTATGTCCATGGTACTGCTCATGTCTATAGCTGACGGTTACCACTTTCCATCAGGTGGGCCGTCAGCTTGTTTGCCATTCTAAGTTGTATAAAAAAAAAAGATGTGCCCGTGGGGCCCAGATGCAAAGAATTTTTATCGGACGATCGCAGCGCGCCTCATCGAGGTTACTGGTGACCCGAGAGTTGGTAGCTACTTTGCCCAAAAGATAAGTTTGGCAATCCAAAGAGGTAATGCCGCCAGTATCTTGGGTACGCTGCCTCGGTGTGGTGCGTTGGGAGACTACTTACTTATAATAATAGTATTAGTATTTAAGGAATTGTATATTAACTTTAATTTTTTGTTGTATAGTAAATAGATAAGTAAAATTCATTTATAATAGAGTCGGAGATCGTTTTATTATTTTAATGGGATTACTTGTCTTTCATTGTGTTTGAATACGCCTCTTGTTCTACTATTGTGCAGTATTCAAATTTCCATTAGGAATTATTTGGATTCCTCCTTCTTAGGTTGTATAATTTAAAATTTAGGCTCTCTCGAATCATTGTGATGACTTCGTGGCGGTGTAGTACGCATTATGTCCTGTATAAATGATGTATCGAGTTTGATTCTCGATCATGTCGACATTTTTTTATTATTAAGTTGAAAGCAATCTTATAATTTGCCAGAGGGAGACTTTGTACAAAAGTCGTTTGCTTAGGTACCTCTGTCCTAGTCGTGTTTCAACCGTAAAGCAGTTGTGTTTGCATGGCTGTTTCGGTTTGAAGGGTGGGATATGACGTGAATTTATAGGGTACAGAGGAATAACACCTGAGTTCTGAATGGCAACGCATGGGCGAAACAGTATATTCTGTTATGTCCACGGTACCGAGTCTAATTGACCTTATCAGGGTACCCAATACACCCTATCAGGTCGACCTCCACGCGGTTTCCCCTGGAAACTGTCGTGGTTAATTCTAGTGGAATTCGTCACGATGGGCTAACTGACCTGCCTTTTCATCCTCACCTATCATCCCTCACTGGTGCCCCGCCAGCGTATACCGATAGCGCAGGCGAGGTTACCATTCCATTATCATCCATTAAAAAAAATCTACCCATGTCTACTTAGGATAGAAAAAGACAAGTAGATTTATTGTTTTTTTTTTTTTTTTTTTTATAGAATAGCATTTAATATTTTTAATTAAAATATGTTGGGAGACTACTTTTCGAAATAGCATAATGCTTTCTCGTATGCAGTTTCCAGCTATGTTGTAATGTTTACTCTCTCGGGAATGAGGCTGCAGGAATGGGTGCATAAATTAATACTGCTAGTCGAGTCTACATCCGGGCTTCATTTTCAATTTATTTTTTTTACATTTTCGACTGACTTCAAAATGAAGAAGTACCTGAATTCAGTTGTTTTTTCTTTTACATTTGTTACCTCATAACTCCGTTAGTTGTAAATCGATGTATAGACATGCATATGCATAACATATAAAAATAATAGTTGTAAACCGATTTGGAAAAAAATATTTTTCTCTGACAGGATATATTTAAAGGTTGGTTCCATAGAAATTTTATCAAAATCAGTTTAGTATTTATGTTTCGAAATAAAAAAAAAACCTGGTTTTGCCATCTTAAGTTATTATATATATATAGAAACATTTTAAAATATTCCCTTTTTCAGGTAAGTATTATTACCTTAGTATCCACATCGTGAAAAGGCACAGCATACCACGGCTTTCCCGTCAAACTCTTACGGAAACCCGCCTCTCTCTCCACCGGACCTTCAGGTGTGCCAACATGAGCCCAGAGCACCACCTGTACCACTTTCAACCGCGGTTGCACTATTTTGTACAATTCCTCTAGACGTACACCAAAATCATCACTTGTGTCGCTAATGTTCGCGAATGAAAAATAAATTCCACACACAGCACCATCCCCTTCTTCGACACAATCGCCCAATCCTTGTAAAGTTGGCACTAACTCGAATTGGCCGTTTTGAGTTCCCGGTGACTCGCACTTCACAAGCACTTTCCCGAAGAGTTTTTCGCGCCAGTCCATTTTAGAAAAGATTTCACACTAGCATCACTCTGTAAAAATGCTTACACATGTATTCCAATCATCTGATATGTTTATTTTACTGTGTTTCTATTATATAAATATTAAACATGCGAGTCGTTTGACTGGTCCAACGGAACCGCTTTTGATTCTGAAAACAAAATGCGCTGTGAAATTTTATTTGTTTTGATTCACTCCGCTGCCGACAAAACTTATTTTGATAACTCGAATTTGTTGTTATTGAATCAATTAAATATAATTGTGTACGAATATAATTATTTTTTTTTTACAGTAAACCAAAAGAATTTCGTTTTATTTTTAAAATGAAACGCAATTACGCGGGAGGTCGACGGACGCGTCGCGCGACGGGCACTCCCCTTCGTAAACAAAACGAGACTGCAGGAATCGGAATCGGACACAGACAGGACTTCGTAGGAGGGACTAGACAACGGAACCCTCAGCCCTCAACTCAACACAGAGCAAACACAATACAAAAAGTTCCAGAATTTTACAATTGTTTGCACATTCGTTTCGTTTCATATAGAATTTGACATTAACGTGCTACCGCGCTTGATCCAATATTCTTTTTTTTTTGTCTGATTGTCAAATAAAGCATGATGTCATCCTTCTTAAAATAGTATTAAGCACAATGACTTGCAGATATCAAAGTGATTGCAGAAAAATTTGTGTAATTGTATTTTTCTTTACAGATACATCTCCAGTGCTTACATATTATTTGTATTGACTATGTCAGTCCAACTATCCTAGCAAGAGGGAGGAAGGGACTGTTAGTAATGGAGAAGTTAGTCCCTTTTGCTATCAATATATCCTATCGGGTCGACCTCCACGCGGTTCCTCCTGGAAACTATCGTGACTAATTTACCGTTGAATTAGTCACGATTGGCTAACTGACCTGTCTTTTCATCCTCACCAATCATCTCTCATCTGGTGCTCCACCAGTGTATGCCGATAGCACAAGGGGGATTACCATGCCATTTTATCCATTATAAAAAAAAAAAAACTATCCTAGCATATATATTTATTTACTTAAACTAGATATCTTTTAGATGCCGTGCGGTCCCGACATAGAACGGGTCACTCCTTTCCCGTGAGTGTCGTAAGAGGCGACTAAGGAAATTTAATAGCCGAGGAATAGGCAGCAGCGTTACCAAAAACACATCACCAAAGACCTACTGCAGTTGCCAATTTACTTACCAACCGTAGCAACTACTGGCAAGGCCCCCCATATGGCGAGACTGTTCAGATGTGGACAATTTATGGCTGACAAAATTATGACATGATGATGTTTGAGAGAAAACGCTAAGAACGCCTGTCACGAAAGGATTACATCTACAAGACCTCGAAGAAACCCGCGCTTTTTTTGAAAAAATCTACACTGTGTCTCGAGGGAAAACCTCAGCAGGAAGCTTTCACATTCCATAATCTGAGTGCTCCTTTGAGACAGCATTGTATCCGGCTGTATTGGTTTTAGTTCAGGGTAAGAAGATGAATTCCCTGAAGATGGCGGGTATAATATTCGAGCATGCTAATCTCAGAAACTGCTCTACCGATTTTAGTAAGATTTTGCAAACGTTTGTTTCAACTTGAGAAATGGCCCTTTTAGTGGATAGTGGGAAGCTGAACAATATTCGCTGGATCTGCTAGTATAGTAAAGAAGTATGCTCCTAGAATCTAGCGTTCCATAAAACGAAATCTCAGCTTTTTGTTTATATATTTTCAGTCATGTTTTTTCTGAAATATAGTTGAAAGCTCCATATTCTAGGGTGGGTACCAGACAATTCTGAGGTAGGCACGGCTAATCCGTTCCCCTCAATATACATACGGCTGTAAATCTGTTTTTTTTTAATGTATGGTAATGGAATGATAACACCCAACTTGCGCTAACGGTATACGCTGGCGAGGCACCAGTGAAGGATGATAGGTGAGGATGAAAAGGCAAGTCAGTTAGCCTATCGAGACAAATTTCACGATAAATTAGTCATGGTTTCTAGGGGAAAACCGCGTGGAATTCGACCTGATAGGGTATATTGATAGCAAAAGGGTCTAATCTTCCCTTTTACGAACAATCCCTTCCCTCTGTGAATCTCAGTTGGATCAACACACACATAGAGACAGCGAAGGTCTACTCTGCACGTACCTACAACCAATTCTCAATACATATTTCGTGCAGGGGTTCCACGACACGAGTTAGTAATAATTTCGCAATTTCCATATCTCGCGTATAATCTGTGACCCTCGTATCTCTCGGTCGCGTCCGGAATAGGGTTGTGAGGGACAAGAAACATGGAGTAAAAAGTTCAAGCCCTTGACATGTCTGTTGGGTCGGGATCGCGGAGTCGCTTGTCTGTTTTCACTCGCTACAGCGCACTGTAGTCAGGTTAATAAACAACTTTTGAAGGGTTGTTTTTAAATTAATAAAGTACTCTGTGCGACTAGCATCAAAGTGGAATGTGTCGTGAAATATAGTAGATATATAAATAGAAAGATTTTAAATTTAATTCAATATTTTTACTCGTATGTGACTACCACTGTCCATGGACACCCGCTAATGCAACTTCTTTATAACTGATATGCAAAAATATGTCTGGCCCCATGCATTTGTGGATATCACAGACAATATGTTTGTGGTGGATACGAGGTTTGTCCGGAAAGTACGTATAAAAGTTTTTTAAAAATTTTATTTTACAATTATTCAGGTACATCAATTTTATCCCCTTCAAAGTACTCAGGCCACATAGGGCTGTGACATAATGCACTTGTGCCAAGGCCAATGCCTGTGCGTCCACTGTGAGAAGGCTCCTTGAAAGTCCTCTGGTTGTACGGGTTTCAGCGGCTCGAGCTGCCGGCCGTCGTAGCTTTTTTTATCTCATTTATGTCCCCCAAATGACCAGCCCCCGAAGTACCAATTTGCGTTTTGTGGAGCGGAACAAGAAGAAGTCACACGGATGAGCCAACTTGTCCGCGAATAGGGGGGATGTTCGGTCACCGTAGTCCGGCGGATTTTTAGAGATCAAAAACTCACGGACAACAAGAGAGGTGTGGGCACTCTCGCACCGTCAATCCGGCATTGTCGTGGCAGAAGAATCCAACGCCCCTCTCGCGCCAATTCTGGACGAATTGTCCCAATCGTGCCATATACGAGCATTGAGGCGTCTGAGCATATCGAGAGTAGAATTTTCCATCAACTGTCTGGCCTGGAGGGACGAATTCTAGATGGACAATCCACAGAACATCGAAAAAAACAATCAACATTTTCTTGACATTTGAGCAAATTTTCTTTAGATTTTTTTGTTCGTGGTTCCCCGGATATATTGTCTTCCACTCTTTGCTTTCACGTGAATCTCATTCTTGCTGAGACCGAGTTTCGAGAGAAACAATTGATTACGACGCGCTGCTCTTCAACGGAAGCGGGCTCCATCTCTCGACGGAATAGGTTTCGTTAAGAAACATGGTAAAAAGTTCACAGATGGCGTGACAAGCCTTGTCTGTTTTCACTCGCTACAGCGCACGGCGGTCAGACCAGAACATCAAGCATTGTTAGGATATATAGGAAGAAAGATTTTAAATTTAATTCAATATTTTTACTGCGTAAGTGACTACCTGTCCTCCCCACTCCTCTTTTATAACTCGCATTCCAGAAATTTTATACGAACTTTCCGTGGACAGACCTCGTACACAGGTGGATATTATTTTTACATATACATACATACATATCTGTCACGCCTGTCTCCCATTAGGGTAGGCAGAAACAATGGAACGCCAAATGCTTCGATTCAAACAAACCTCTTTCGCTTCTTCCACATTCATCATTATTTTTCTTTATGTATTTTTTTTCTCCTGGAAACATAGACGATATAACGACAAGCTAAGCTTGGAATAGTGCTCATAACACATATATATGTATATAATGCCTTTGAAGATATCTATTTTCTTATTCCCATTTGACCCTTCACACCTGCAAAATCAGAGATATTACAGATGTGTATTTTTTACTAATCTTTGTGAAAAGAAAAAAATAAACCATCAATTCATTAATATTTGTCGGTTATAATAAAGTAGGTTAAAGTTTATAAACAATATAACGCAGACTTAAATATTAGAAGCTAGGCTTAAAGCCCTGGGAAGACCAGTCGAACACAGATTTTATCTGCGGATAAAATGTCTCTCGTTTATGTATGCCATTATTATAAAAAACAATGACTCCTAATAACATGTACATTAACAAATATTAATTATAAACAGGTAAGTCCTACGATTGGTAAATAAGAAAATACAGTTATGAATGAAAACACATTTTTTAATGCTTGATAATGAAATAGTAACGCCACTTGTACTACGTTGCCGGGGCACCAGTGAGAGATGATTGGTGAGAATGAAGTTAGTTCAGTTGGCCCATTGTGATGCATTTGACGATAATTAATCACGATGATTTCCAGGGGAAACTTGTGGAGGTCGATCTGATGGATTATATTGCTAGTAATGTGGATTAACGTACTCATTGCTAGCAATCCTTCTCCACCAATATATATATTTCGCTATAATCAGGCATGCAAAATTAAAAAAAAAAAAACTTATAAACATATATAGAAGAAATAGGTTACCTAAATTGTCTGTATTTAATTATCTATTTATAGATAGATAGATAGATACTCTTTATTGTTTCCTCCAAAAGATTACAATAGTAAACTTATTATAAATATAAATAATTACAAGAAATAATCACAGTGAGAAAACAATGGGCCACCTTATCGCTAAGAGCGATCTCTTTCAGGCAATCTTTGGATGGAGAGGAGTAATTATAATTTATTTAGTTATAATAAAAAAAAATGAAATCTTATTACTGACGCCAGGCAGTCTAGCACTTGTAAATAAAAGCTAAAAGCACTCAAGCAAGGGTTGCCAGGATGATTTATTGAAGCGTTTTATGGGAAATCAATAGCTCAGCGGTGCGCGGCTGGCTTTGTACGCCCGTCAAATGAACCCGTTTATTGTTCTGTAAGATTTCTGTAGTGTCGCCTATTTTTGGGATATTACTGCCATTTAATTTACGAATGAGACGTCTCTATGCTTGTTGAAATGCGTAAATTTGTTTTCCATTGGAACTTAGATAGGTAAACACTTTATTTGAGCCATTTATGACACACGTAAATTAACAAATGAGTTTATACAATCAGATTATTTACACTTTTTTATATATAAAACAAAAGATAAAGTATGGAAATATGTTTTCGCCATGTGTGTCGCAGTGACCCAAATAGGCTACAGATCAGTGATAGTTTTGCTTAAAAGCAAACCATTGATTTTCAGCTACAGCCTGAAGTTCAATTTGGACATTTGACTATGAAAGGAGGGTTTTGTTTTGTTGGGTGACTTTATTGTCCCCTCTAAAAGATTACTGCAGAAAGAATAAGAAATAAATTATTCTGTCCGGATAAAAAATAATTTTTTTTTTAATACAACATTCTAAGTTGTATAAAAAATAAAGTTAATGTAGTGACGAACGTAACACTCATGGCCATATTTCGCAGAGCATATTTGAACCCATTATGGTGGGGGAAAGGGATTGCTATGAATTGGGAGGTTAGTCCCCATTGCTATCATATCAATATAATAATAAATGTCTTATCAGGTCCACCTCTATTCTCTTTCCACACTCTTAGGTTCCCCCTGAACAGACCTGACTAATTTAAACTTTTTTTTTCTTATACAACTTAGAATGTGTAAACAAGCTGACGGCCCACCTGATGGAAAGTGGTAACCGTCGCCTATAGACATGAGCATTACCATGGACATAACAGAGTATACTGTTTCGCCATGAAACCCCCATGAAATGCTTCACGGTTGAAACACGAATGGAACAGAGGTACCTAAGCAAACGATTTTTGTACAAAGTCTCCCTCTGGTAAACATCATTCTATTATCACCTTTAAAAAAGATTGACTCGGGTCAAGCACATATCTGTTGCCATTTGTAAGATTAAAACAGAACAGTAGCATCTCAGTCTTACATGTAGAAATAGATAGATAGATTCTTTACTACGAATAATAATAATAAAACACAGTTAAAACAAATAACAACAGAAAAAAAGTCAATTTGCTTCTAATAGGGGCACCCTCAGAGCATCTGATTATATATATACACTTTCAGTTACTTATAGCGTTCATTTTCACTTACTTAATTTTAGCATTTGTGCAGGTCGCTTACTTTAGGATGTGATAATATATTAAATATATATATATATATATATATATATATATATATATATATATATATATATATATATATATATATATATATATATATATATATATATATATATATATATATATATATATATATATATATATATATATATATATATATATATATATATAAAAGTACAGATATGTATGTATGTATGAAACAAGTTCTTCACTTGTTTAAAACCTGTTAAACCTTTGAAAGAAATTTGCGACATTTGAATTTATTTTTGATGATAATGGAATGGTTACCCCACCTGCGCTAAAGGTATACACTGGCGAGGCACCAGTGAGAGGTGATAGATGAGAATGAAAAGGCAGGTCAGTTAGCCCATTGTGTTTTGAATACACCAGGAATTCAGCACGATGGTTTCTAGGGGGGACCACGTAGAGGTCGACCTTAAGAGGTATATTGCTAGCAATGGGACTGATAGTCCGTATTACTAACAATCCTTTCCCCCCCTAAGAGACATTTGAACAAGCAAAGGAAAGAAGTGAAGGAAGTGAAAGATCATTCCAGATTTTAGCTGTAGAAAATCAGAAATTTCTCCTAAAAACAGTTTTATGCACAGGCTAAGCTGCCTGCTACCTAATTTATTATTCTTGTTCATTTAATTATAACTATTTTGCTATTAAAATTATTAAATTTAATTGTACTAACAATCATATTTTACTCAGTTGACCGGAACTATAAATAAAATGGCATCTAAATATGTCAGTGTCAAAAACTTAAAATGAAAGATGTCAATGTCAATTGATTGTCAAATAAGTTTGATGGGAGTTCGTTGGTACCGGTACTTTTAGCATGTTTTATATAAACAAAGCAAAAACAAACATAAACATATTAAATGAAATATTTTTCACTATTTAATAGAGGGATTTAATAGAGATATTTTTTACAAATTACTAGTTTTCTATAAGGTAAGTTTATTTAAACATTTAATATAAATTTTGTAAACTTTAATAGATATTCAATTGCTGAATTTTATTACTCTCTTGTAACCATTTTATTTACATTGCTCCTTATTGTATATTGTTTTAAATCGATGATAATGGAATAGTAATTCTGCTTGCCTTAACGGCATACACTGGCGGGTACCAATGAGGGATGATAGATAAGGATGAAACAGATCAGTTAGTTCATCGTGACGAATTCAACAATAAACCAGTCGTGATGGTTTCCAGAGGGAACGGCGAGGAGGTCGTCCTGAAAGGGTATATTATTAGCAATGGGTTTGTTAATCCCTGTTACTAACAATCCCTTCTCCCCGTAATATTGCTCTATTGTATTGATTAATTCGTAGTAGAATAATATCTAAATATATGATGCAACTATATCGTCATTTATAACAATGAAATTTTTAGATGACATCGAAAAGGCATAAAAGACAAAGTGACGATAGTAATAGCATTGAGATTATGGATCTGACTCAAGAGGACGATCAAGAAGTACCTTGTAAGTTGAATCATGATTTTTAAACATTTAATTTGGGGTTTTTTTTGTAATGGTTGAAAATGGTATGGTAACCCTGCCTGCGCTAACGGGATATGCTGACGGAGCACCAGTGAAGGGTGATAGATGAGAATGAAAACGGGCCAGTTAGCCCATCATGATGAATTCATCAGGAATTAACCATGATAGTTTCCAGGGAGAACCGCGAGGAGGTGGACCTGGTTGGGTATATTGCTAGCAATGGGATTCTCAGTCTCCATTACTAATAATCCCTTCCCCCCCTATTTAATTTGGGTTGTATATTGATGTATTCAACTGTGAAATCAATTGATGGTACTATAACAACCACACATCATCAACATCATTACCAGAGGGAGACTTTGTACAAAAGTCGTTTGCTTGGGCATCTCTGTCCCATTCGTGTTTCTACATTGAAGCAGTTGTGTTTGCATAGCTGTGTTTAGGTTTAAAGGGTGGGCAGCGAATTTACAGGGTACAGAGGAATAACCTAAGCCCTCAGCAACGGCAGTGCATGGGGGTATCATGAGTGAAACAGTATACTCTGTTATGTTTATAGTACTGCTTATGTCTGTAGATGACAGTTATCACTTTCTATCAGGTGGACCGTCAGTAGTTGCTCCATTTGGCAGGCAGGTTTGCAACTGCAGCAGTTAAGCTTTGGTGCCTTTTTGATAGGGATGGGCAGCATCCCTCAACCATTGAGTACTAAGATGCTACTTATAAATTTCAGGTGAATATATAGATTTATCAGCTCCGTCCAGGTCACAAACATCAACTGCAAGTAGTGGGACAGCATCAGAAGTTAGCGCAACCACTAGCGGTCGAAAGAAGATGGGAAGGAAGAGTGTTGGTTAGTGTTTTGCTTTGTAATTGATTTTTTTTTGTGTACTTGTATATATTTTTTTTTATACAACTTAGAATGGCAAATAAGCTGATGGCCCACCTGATGGAAAGTGGTAACAGTCACCTATAGATATGAGCAGTAGCATGGACATAACAGAGTATACTGTTTCGCCCACTATACCCCCTATGCGTTGCCATTCCTGAGGACTCAGGTGTTATTCCTCTGTACCCAGTAAATTCACGCCATATCCCACCCTTCAAACCGAAACACAACCATGCAAACACAACTGCTTCACGGTTGAAACACGAATGGGACAGAGGTACCCAAGCAATCGACTTTACAAAGTCTCCCTCTGGTATATGCAATATATTCTATGATAGATGTTTTAGTTTGCTATAAAAGCAATTTTTAAATAATCAATTTCTGATACATTGAAAAATGTTACATTGTTTTTTTAAATTATTGAATAATTACAACGTTGCCATATTTTGTTATGAACACTCTTATATAAATGTAAAAAGATTTAATAGACAATACAAGAATTATTATAACAGGTAGTTTGCAAGAAAAAAGTAAGAAAAAAAGTAATGCTGCAGAGAAGCAAGCTAAAAAGCAGAGAATAGCTGAAAGTAAAGCGGCTAGAGCTGCAGACAGAGAGATGAATAAAATATTTAAGCCTGGAGAGTGTATGAAGGTTTGTTTTGTTTCTTTTAAACACTTTAAAATAGTACACAGGCTGACTAAATAACGATGATTAGTTTTAACGCCGCGCAATGTATTTAAAATTTTACCAACCACATGACGTGTGATACCTACAATGCGTGCTCAATGGCGCTTCTTTGTAGGTAGTTTACGTATGCTTGTGGCGTTGACCTTATACAGCTGATTGGGGGGAAGGGTTTGTTAGCAATGGAGTTTGACAGGCCCATTGCTAGCAATATGCCCTATTAGGTCGACCTCCAGGTGGTTCCACCTGGAAACCATCGTGAACAATTCTTGTTGAATTCGTCACGATGGGCTAACTGACCTGCTTCATCCTCATCCTCACCTATCATAGCCTTCACTGACCTTGCAGCCTAAATGGTCGCGTACAACGCGGTTTCAGCCGAACACTCAGTGTATGGAATGAGCCGATAGCGCGGGTGGAGAGACTACATTCCGCGCGCGTATTATCACCTATAATATACAACTGATTCCACATGTCATAGTAGTAGTAACAGGAATTTAAGGCGAATATTACATTGCTGTTTTTTGGTATTTCATAGTATTTCACTATAAAATATTTTGAATTAAAAAATGATTTTAAATTAAAAAAAAAAAACAAAAAATATTTGACATATTCTGGAAAGAATTTCTATTGGTTTTCAGTTTAGAATAATGATCTAAAATCACTATTTCAATTTTTACCAACCTGTCCCTTACCCCTTACAATCTTTATATTAAAATTATAGAAATTTCTGGCAACAGGTTGGTCAGTGATCTTGCGAGAAGGAAATAGTTTTTTTTTTATGCAACATAGAATGGCAAACAAGCTGACGGCCCACCTGATGGAAAGTGGTAACCGTCGCCTATAGACATGAGCAGTACCGTGGACATAACAGTAAACACACATACTGTTTCCCCCATGATACCCCCCATGCATTGCCATTCCTGAGGAGGCCTTTGCCCAGCAGTGGGACACCATAAGCATTGATTGATTGATTAACGATTATAGAAATAGATTGTGTGGTATGAATAAAATAAAAAAAAAATGTTCAAATTTCCCATAAGGCCATAATAAAAAAACATTTTTTTTTTATATTTCATTCAAGCATATGAGTATTGAGATGCACCCAGTGCTGGCGGGCGCGTGGTACATGGCGGACGTGGCCCGCGAGGCGGCCGGCGCCGGCTGCCGCGTGGCGAGCGCCGCGGACGTGTGCGAGCCCGCGCTCGTCATGTGGTCGCGGCACCGTGCCCACCGCACGCTCGCGGCGGCCGGCCGACAGGTGAGGACAGGCACACAGACATATCGGAATCCTAAGCGGGGCCAACTAAGAATTTATTCGTGTTAAAAATACCGGGAAACAAAAATAAAAAAAAAAATATTAATGTCCTACTATCTATCTATTGATCCTATTTAAGAGTTGCACTCTTGTCGGTGGAGCTCTTGCCCCTCACTACGATTTTCAGCGAGTCTCTTCACCTCTTGATACGACACGACACCAACTCCTTCCTTGATCTGCCTGATGTAACTATGTCTCGGTCTCCCTCTTCCCCTCCTTCCTTCTATCTTACCTTCTATTATAATGTTCATATCTTCGTCGTGTCGTATCAAGCGTCCCAATTTTTTTTCTCTTCTGTACTCAATAGTTTTTTTAATCTGTCTCTTTTGAGTGTCCTACACTAATTAAATTTTTTTTTCGATTTTGATCCATATTGCTTTGTTAATAATGTCCACTTTCGTTAGTAGAATACTCTTCACAAAAGATGTTAACGATTTCAGTTACAGGGTATTATAGTAGACAGTCTGTCAATGTCCAATTAAAAATGCAAGAAAGAATTTATTCATAGAATTATACGACTTACGCAGTAGCATAAATGAACTAATACAAATATAAAACGATAGCTCGTCTCTTGGGGAAGGGATTGTACAAAGCCTATAGACAATTTTTCCTTTCGGGTTCTCAAGGTTGACTGGAAGAAATCGCCTTCAAGGACCAAGTCCGTCTTGTTTTGTTATAGCCTAATACCTATATTAAAAGTAGTGTCCGACCGAAATAGGTTTTACAGCTGAAATCGAACTTTCGGCCTTGGTCTCAGTTTTGGCCGAAACCGAAACATACTGAAACATATTTCAAATTTTTCTTCTGTACTGAAATCCAGTGTATTTTTTACACAATTGTTTACACAAAAATACAGATAGTTAAAGGATAATAATAAACACTAAAAGTATGTATTTATGTACTAAAAGTATGTATGTATATGTCATATATATTTATATGTAAAAACATGTTAAAATTATGACTTACTCTTGGAAGTAAACTTAAAGAAAACAACTTTCAGTTAGACACACATACAACGCAAACACACACACAAAGTTTTGGCGCGGCCGAAAGCTTCGGCTAATTTTTGGCTGAAACCGAAACTAAAGCCGAAAGTAGAATTTCTGACCGAAACTAGCCGAAACCGAAACTGAAATCGAAAGTTCGGTCGGACACTAATTAAAAGTATATAAATAAATAAAATAATACAAAAACATATAAATAAATAAAATATGAGTAAACTATTATAAACTAACGACATGACCACGGATGTGGCCTCGGTATACAGGTAGTTTTCAATTATTATTTCAGCCATTAACTGTTCACTGCTGGAAATAAGCCTTCCTCATAAGGGGAGTATTGCTAGTAGTTGCTACGCTTGGCAGGCGGGTTGGCAATCGCAGTTAAACTTTTAGAGATGTTTTTAAAGGGACGCTGCTGCCCATCCCTCGTCCTCCTTTAGTGGCCTCATATGACACCCACGGGAAAGGAATGGGTGGCCCATTCTATGCTGGGGCACACACTGCGTACTTTTCAATATTTTTGAATTAAAACTGCTTTAATGGAGAATTAAAATGTTAAATTGTAGAACAAACGTAGAGACTATAATCTCATTTTTAACAATCCCCTCCCAATCGCAGGTGGGTTTAAGTGGTGGGAAGGAGCGTTGCAACCGTGCGCTGTTCGTTTGCGAGGCGGCGACAGCGGCTGAGCTGGCGGCCGGGCGGCGTCTCGCGTGCCACCTCGGGTCTGTTCGCGACATGGCCAGCTGCCCGCTCACGCTTGTCATATTCGGCCTCAACGATTACTTCAAGTGGGTAAAATTATTGTTAGGGACTATTTTTCACTCAATCTTGAGAAAGGGGGGGGGGGGGGAATTTATTACCAATATACCCTGCAAAGAAGAGTATAGATAATCTGGTAGTATTGTTTTATTGTTACCCTATTCCCTTTGGCCGCAACAGAATATCAGTGCTTTGCTCTTTTGAGGGCGCAGCAATAAACTGAGTTGTGGCCATTTTGTATTGTTACAGCACACGCACAATAGGAAAAAATGTACTCGGCTTTATATATTTTTTTTTTATTCATGTATATTATCTCGTTTTTTATGTATATCTATATATGTTATAATTTGTGTGCTGTAAGTAATGCAAATAAATTATATATCTATCTATCTAAAGTTAACGTGCATGCTGCCCTCGAATCTGTCGTGGTTAATTCCTGATGAATATAATATATTACACGCTTGATGCTCCAACCAAATGGTCATGTACAGTGCGGTTTCAAAAGAATTTCCTTCCACGAACGCTAAGGCTGTGGGATGAGCTCCCAGTCAAGGTTTTCCCTAAAGACTACACGATGGGGTATTTCAGAAAGGATATATTAAGGTTTCTTTAGGGGTAGCAATGCACACTTGACACCCCTAGTGTTGCAGGCTTCCACAGGCTACAGAATTCGTTTACCATCGGACGGGTTGAAAACTTATTTGCTACATTCATGGTATAAAATAAAATTTGCCATGATAGATCAATTGACCTGCTCTATCTTCACCAACATCCCTCACTGGTGCCCCAACAGCATAAAGTAATAGTGCACATTGGGTTACCATTTTATAAGACCCACCCATAAAACGAGGTAATCAAGTAGGCAACTTTTGAACAAAATCCCTTCTGGGACAAAACACGATCAGAGCTGATGAGTTATGTGTAAAAAAATTTAATTGTCTGTACCTCTTTCAGGTCGTCAGGTAGAAACACGATAAACAGCAATAAGAAATTGATAACGGAAATTGATCTAGAAATGGCCATAACAGGTAATAGCTGAGTCGTATTACAATTTACGATTACTGTTTTTCAGTACAATAGACCTAGCTAGCCACTCCGGCTTCGTATAGCTACGTAGGTAGTAGATAGTTAAAAAAATACAGCCATACATCACCTTTTTTTTATAAAATTTAGAATGGCAAACAAGCTGACGGCCCACCTGATGGAAAGTGGTAACCGTCGCCTATAGACATGAGCAGTACCGTGGACATAACAGAGTATACTGTTTCGTCCATGATACCCCCATGCGTTGCCACTCCTGAGGACTCAGATGTTATTCTTCTGTACCCAGTAAATTCACTGCCATATCCCACCCTTCAAACCGAAACACAGCCATGCAAACACAACTGCTTCACGGTTGAAACACGAACGGGACAGAGGTACCCAAGCAGTCGACTTTTGTACAGTCTCCCTCTGGTAGATAGACTTGCTGATAATGTAGCTTTTTATAGGTGTACAATCTTTAAAATCGGTTAATATTTTTTTTACTTTTTCGTGTGGTCTCGGCATAGAATAGGTCACCACTTCCTTTCTCGTGGATGTCGTAAGAGGCGACTAAGGGAGGGCGAGGGATGAGCAGCAGCGTCCCTCTTAAAACATCTCTAAAAGCCAAACTGCGATTGCCAAGCGTAGCAACTTCTGGCAAAACTCCCCTTATGAGGAAGGCTTATGTCCAGCAGTGGACAGTTAAAGGTTTTTAATTTATCCAATTATAATTCAAATCTTTATCTGGAGAAGAAAGAAATGTTTATTTAGTGCTTAATTCTAAAATTTATTATAAAAAATATATAAAAAAAAAAATATGTCCATAGTGCTGTTCATGACTAGTCGTCAGGTTGTTTGCCATTCAAAGTTTCATAAAAAAAATACAGATCTACTGGTGAGCGCCGATGTGGACACGATAGTGGTGAACACACCCAACGAGCTGGCGCTTCTCATCGTCCAGTTCACGAAGGCGATCGCGGAGGAACCTTACAAGTATGTCTCATCGTCATTCAATATTTATTTTGTTTCTTGTAAGTCGTGCGAGTGTGGTTACCCTCTGGTGTCAAGGATATTAAACTACTACCAAAAAAATAATGGAGTGTGACTTTTTAAAGATAGCTACTGTAAGATGTTTCATATTTATAAGCGTTTATATTTTTAGCCTATTGATGTGTAGAAACGCCATTTTAATGTTGATTTTCAAAAACAATTGGACAATTTTCAATGTTCCTGATTAATTTGTAAAAGTACTGTGTTAGTGAACTAAATCTAACTGTTAGTGAACTAAATTAATCACAGGTTACACTAAAAACTTTGCACCTACTTCAGAGTTTTTCAATTGAAATTTTGCCATCTATTTTCAAATTGTCAATGAGAGCTTAATAAGAATATTATTTTGTTATTTACGTTTTAGTTCGCTAGTAGAGTACTTTTTAAATAATCAATTGGAAATATTAAAAAAAAAATTGTTGTTCAAAATTGACAGTTGAGTGTAATGTTGCCATACTACGTTATGAATTACTACTAATAAATACCAGTTTGTTACAGGAAATCAAAACGCGCATGTGACGAGCAAGCCGAGTTCTACATGAGAGGTGACAAGAAGAAATCCGTACCAGTGGATAAAGATGGTAAAATTATGTTTACAATAACTATTCATTAGTGTCGGTTGGAAGGGAATCATTTGTAATGGGGGTTAGTAACTCCATTGTTAGCAATATACCATGTCAAATTAACCTCCAAATGGTTCCCCCTGGTAACTATGACCTCCAAATGGTCCCCTGGTAACCATCTTAGTTAATTACCACTGAACTTATCAACTCTTGATAGGTCAACTGACCTGACTTAATGCTCATCACTAACTAGTACTCCGCCAATTACAACAATGGCATAAGTGGTGTAATGAATCCATTTTTAAACCATAAACACTTATATTATTATATTGTTTATCTCAGTTTTTATATTAACCCTTCTTTGCATGATTTTTTTATTGGTGAAATAAATCGAGGTAACATAATAATTGTTCAAAATTTAAAAAAAAAATGTCAGCTATGTTTTTTTTCTGCAATGGCCATTAAAAAGGTATCCAGACACGATCAACTTAAAGTAAACTTGTTCTTTTATATATTTTTGGGCATTCAATGTTATGATAGAAATTTCCACCATTATGCAAAGAAGGGTTAATTTATACGATTTTTACATCCAGGTAACGGTCTGAGTAGACTGTGGCAGCAGATGATCGCCGTGTTACCGTTGTCGAGTTTAGAAACCTCCAGATCACTGTGCGCCCTCTATAAATCTCCGCTCGAACTTTATAAGGTAATGGTTATCATCTTATAAGCTCTTAATGGTTCATTGCTGAACATAAGCCTCCCCCTTCGGGAGGTTTGCCAGTAGTTGCCACACTTGCCAAGCGGAATGGCAACATCAGTTAGGCTTTGGAGATGTTTTAAGAGGGACGTTGCTGCCCATCCCTCACCCCTCCTTAGTCTTACTACACTCACGGAAAAGGATGGGGTGGTCTATTCTATGCCGGGACCACACGGACGTGACGAGTAAGATAATGGTAACTATATTAAATTTGTGGTTTTTATTGAAAGTAGAATATTGCTCTTGGAATTTATTTTTTCCATATAACGCCATCTAGCAGCGAAAGCAATAAGTGACATCAAGATATGACAGATGCTTTGTATGACTTTATAGTTACTTTTATAGTAACTTCTTTTATTTTAAACGAGTAAATTAGATAAAAATGCAGATTTAGACTGTTTACTAAATAAGTCAAGTGCAAAATAAAAAGAAGAATAATGTATTCACAATTAGGAGCATACTATCAGATACAATATTTTTTTCTTTTAGGCGCTGCAATCGCCAAATTGTTTGAACGAACTAGCCGATATTGGTGTATCAAGAGCGGCCATTCCAGGGTCCAGAGCACGTCGTCTTGGACCCGAATTCGCCAGGAAACTTCACACTTTATTTACGGCTGAGGATGGAAATATATTAATAGACTGAAATGTTATTATGAAATAAAAAAAAAGGACAAAAAATCTTCTTTTAATTTATACAACCATAAATGTCTATTTTATAGTGCTATATAGCCGGCTTGTATTGTGTATGAACAATTTTTTTTAATAATACAGAGCAAACGAGTTGACAAAATTCCCAAAGAGGGTTGACGTCAAGCAGGCGGCCAGTTGTAAAACTATAAGCCAAATCTTTTTGTAATATAGATAAAAAACATATTACGGCTACCCCAAATAATAATTGGGATAAGGGTAGGAAGACGATGACAGAGTAAACAAGTATGCAAATCATCTGATGATGTATTAGCACTCACAATATCATAGGTGCGTATTAATTCTCCAATACGATAATCAAATGAATCGTAAGTAAATACGATTTTCTACAAATGTTATTCACAAGAACTTAAACTTCCTATAAACTTATTTTAGTTATTGAAATGTTTTGATACTTTCTTTCAAATTAAGAATTTATCGCAAAAGAAAAAGACAAAACACTTTAATAGATAAAATAGGTTTATAAATAGTAATTTGCCTATGTCCACCGTTTGGAATATTATGTGTTTATAAAAACTACAAAACAATTTTAATGGTTGATAATAGAATAGTAACCCTGCATTTTTATAAATATGGGGATAATCTCTTATGTTAATGAAAGTTTATATTGTTTTTTATATATTATAAAAAAATTAAGTTGTTATTAAGAATTTTTGTTAAGTTGTTACTGAAAATTGTTCAAAAAATTATGAAGGTTTTGTAAATAGATTAAAAAGTCATCAAAATGAATTCGGCATGGTAGAACATATCGCGTAAAACATACACATAAAAAAAAAAATAAACAAATTGTGAGTTTCCTTTCTTGAATTCGCTTAATAATATTTGGCATTTTAAGATTTTTTCTTTACTGTTTAATAAAACAAATTTTAGAGAACTGGTAACACTGATAAAATACTGGTAATACTGACATAATAAAACAAGAACTTCAGGTAGAATTAAAAAAATTGTTAAAAAAAACAGTAAAAAAATAAACTGTCATAATAGTCGCATAACCTCAATTTATGTAATACTTGGGCAATAAAATATTTTTTTTCAACTTTTATTTTTTAATCAACACAATGACAGTGTATTTATCAAGAATTGCGTTTAATATGCTAAGGACATCTTCGGGAAGATGTCTGAACGTAACTATTTCCACCGAGACTGCTTACACCAATTCAAACATTTTCTTTTCAAAAAACGATTTATTTTCCATTGTCCGGAGAGGAAATGTTAGAAATTATTCCAGTGATGCTATCCATCCTACTGCGGCATTGGAAAATTCGAGTATACCGTTGAAAAAGAAGACTATTCATAAAAAAGCGGCATTGGCAGATTTGCCGCAAAAAGAGGGACATTATTTGACGATGGCGTATGCCACGGCCAATTCATACGATCTCAAGGGCCTGAAGGAAGCTCTTCTGCAACAGAAGCTGTACGAACCCGGAACGTAAGGTTTTCAGTTGTTTTTATGATTATGATGCAATACATAATTTTCTTGTATACAAAACACTTGTATTTATTTACAAACTGTTATTTACATAGTTATCACTACATAGTATAAAACAAAGCCGCAGTCGCTGTCTGTCCATTTCTATGTATTCTTAAATCTGTAAAACTACACAACGGATTTTGAAGCGGTTTTTTTTAATAGATAGAGTGATTCAAGAGAAAGGTTTATATGTATAATACATGCATAAAATTGTAGAGAAACATTGATAATTTTAGAAATTTCTAATATGATGTGATGAAGTGTGCACCCGTGCGAAGCCGAGGTGGGTAGCTAGTATGAAATATAGACAGCCATTTGTGCAAATATATTAATGATGCATGCTATTTAGGATTATTTCTGCTTTTTGTAACATATACCATAGTATAAAATGGCAGTTAATAAAGGTATGAATAAAAATTAAATTCTTTTATCCTATTATATTATGAATTTGAAATAATAATATTTTTTATCCAAGCGAGTTTATATTTACAAGTACTTTTTAATAGTAACTTTTTTTATGATTCCATCACTCATTCGGAATGCATTTTCAGTTGAGAGCAAAAGTACAAAAGTTTGTGAGGACAGATGGATGTTTGTTAATTTTTCATGTAAAATGAATGGATTTTTTTTATGAGTGATAATGGAATGGTAACCCCACCCGCGCTATCGGTATACACCGGCGGGGCACCAGTGAAGGATGATAGGTGAAGATGAAGCAGGCCAGTTAGCCCATCGTGACGAATTCATCAGGAATTAACCATGATAGTTTCCAGGGGGAACCGCGAGGAGGTCGACCTGGTTGGGTATATTGCTAGCATATTCTCAGTCTCCATTACTAACAATCCCTTTCCCCCCAGTGCAAAGGGTTAACAAATTATGCTCCACAGTTGTGAAATAGATGCATTTTTAATTGACGATCCATTCTCTGTTTTCAGACTGCAAGCCCAGGAGATAGGTGATGTGGTGGTCGCCAATGCTGTATACAGAGTTGGTGATGAGCCACGCGAGATCATATTCTTCAGTGAGGGTGCAGTTGTTTTTTGGAACTGCTCCGAGTTGGAGGCGTCCAATGTGTTGGATTTCATTAAAAAGTAAGTTTCATGTTCTCAAAATTAGATCAGGATAATTAATTAATTAGCTGCTGAGTTGACAAAGAAAGAATTTTTTTTTTATTCTCTTTTTGTCTATTTTAATATTTTATTTTTTACAGACTACTAGTAGGGGGATAATGATGAGTTTTTAGGGATCAAAACTTTTTTTTTCATTAATATCATCACCAATACCTCTATTTTTATTTAACACTTTATTGCATCAACATTACAGGTTTTTTTTAATGGGTGAAAATGGTAATGGAGACTGAGAATCCCATTGCTGGCAATATCCCCAACCAAGTCAACCTCCTCCCGGTTCCTGGAAACTATCATGGTTAATTCCTGATGAATTCATCATGATGGGCTAACTGGCCTGTTTTCATTCTCATCTATCACCCTTCACTGGTGCTCCGCCAGCGTATCCCGTTAGCGCAGGCGGGGTTACCATACCATTTTCATCCAATAAAAAAAAACTTTAATATTATATACAGAGTGTAAGGGATAGATTGACAAAAAAGTGAAACAGTGAATCCAAACTATAAGGGGGAAAAGGAATTGTTAGTAATGGGGTCAAATAGCCCCATTAATATCAATATACCCTGTCAGGTCGACCTCCACATGGTTCCCCCTGGAAACCATCGTGACTAATTCTAGTTGAATTCGTCAGAATATCACTGGTGTCTCGCCAGTGTATACCAATAGCGTAGACGGGGTTACCGTCCCATTATCGCCCATTAAAAGACTATTAATCTGAACTAAACATCAGTGGAAATTCATTTCGGAAAATATATTTTTTTTTAAATGTCAAAATTACGAATAGTTAATTATAATATGGCTGTGATCCATTTCCGGTGGGAAACTAATCTACCGTCGATTCGGACCATCTAAATCAGCTATTTTCGTTTTGGCTAACCTGTCCCTTCCATTATGTATTAAGCAAGACACAAGCAACTCTTCTCGTATTGCAGGTCTTCAAGGGTTTTTTTTATACAACTTTGAATGACAAACAAGCTAACGGCCCACCTGATGGAAAGTGGTAACCGTCGCCTATAGACATGAGCAGTACCATGGACATAACAGAGTATACTGTTTCGCCCATGATACCCCCCATGTGTTGTCATTCCTGAGGACTCAGATTTTATTCCTCTGTACATTGTAAATTCACGCCATATCTTACCCTTCAAACCAAACACATCCATGCAAACACAACTGCTTCACGGTTGAAACACGAATGGGACCCTACACAAGCAATCGACTTTTGTACAAAGTCTCCCTCTGGTGAGGGAGACGGTAGCCGCTTTCCATCAGGTGGACCGTCTGCTCGTTTGCTTCTTTAACTTAAAAAAAAATATATATATAACCATATATCTAACCTTAATATATGTATGTATGTAATTTCAGATACGAAATCGAGAGCTACCCAACAGAAGTGGTGGATAGAGAGAGAGAAGTCATGAGTTACTTTTATCAACCAAACGCGTAGGTTCAATTCAATTCAATCATTAGATTAGATTTCTTTATTTGCGAGAACATTGTTTTTTACAGATATTGACAAATGTTCGCCTTATATTCTAAAGCATGCAAAATTATTATTGGGTACAAGATACATCACATTTAATACATACATATAAGTGCTAATTTATTTATTTATTTATTATTATATTTCTCACCACAAACAATTTAGGACTTAATATCTATAACTTGCAAAACATTTTAACAATATTATTTGTGGGAGCTGGTGCCTGTACTAGGTCTTAAACCTGTATTACAAGTCACCAGGACCCTTACCTCGAGCAGTACAAATTATACAGATGAAAACTTTCACAAAAAAAGGTGATGGTGAGTACATAAAAAATTCAGATACAGCGCGTATACAAAATAAATAGCTTTCGATATGTATAACATTAAAACAAAAACAAATTATATGCTAGGGTAATTAATAATAGAGTACAAATTATGTTATTCTGTAAATTTAATGCTATTTCACGTTGTAACAATTTAGGTCTTAAGTTATTAAAGGTAAAGAATCGACACGAACCCTGGTAGGGCGCAGCGATCACATTAATAAATATTTCATAAAGTACATAACAAAATTTTTACATTATATATATGTATCGTCGATTAACATAAAATAAATAAAACATTATTACATTGAAACAAATAGGTACAAATACAATTAAATTTTCTCATTGAAAAATTCCTGTAGTGTATAATAAATTTTTGTAATTAAATATTTTTTTTAGAGGTACTTTTTAAACTTTTTAGAACTAGTTCTTTTAACTAGCTATCTAGTTCTTTATTTTCTCAATACGAAGTCTGTGATAGTCATTTTATCTATCCACAATTTATTGTTGTAAACTTGACTTTTATCTAAAAAAAAAAAAACCAACAGGTCTATTTCTTGCCTGTTCCTCTCAGTTGAAATTACATTCCGAATTGGGCGGTAGTTTCATAAAAAAAGAATGGCCTATTAAAAAATGTTTATTTGTGTATGTATATATGTATTATTAAGTTTATTTGAATAAAAAATATTTATTATTATTATTATAACTTGATTATTTATTTAGTGTTTTAATTTGTAAGATTTTTGCAATTTCGTAAATGCTTACAAGTTTATTAAAATACACAATACATACATTTAGGTGGGAGAGGGATTGTTAGTAATGGAGACTGAGAATCCCATTGCTAGCAATATACCCAATCAGGTCGACCTCCTCGCGGTTCCCCCTGGAAATTATCATGGTTAATTCCTGATGAATTCATGATGGGCTAACTGGTTTTCATTCTCACCTATCACTCTTCACTGGTGCTCCGCCAGCGTATCCCGTTAGCGCAGGCGGGTTACCATACCATTTTCACCCATAAAAAAAATACATACATTTAGACATATAATATTTTTCATAATTATTTATTTAGATTTTTTTTGGTTATAAAACATCTGGAATTTTTGGGTATTTTTTTCCAGAAAGAAGTGTTACTTGCAAGAGTCGTGCTTTGTAATGGTGCCAAATAAGGATAATTCTCTGGAGAGGTATACCTTCAGGTAAGAATGGCAATTTATATATTTTTTTGATTTTTATTTTGTTAGTTCTGTGTTCTTTATAATAAGCGACTACTGCAACAAAACACTACACAAGTGCAAAATAAGGGAAACTTGAGACAAGACCTTATATCGTTCTATCAGGAGAGGTTTGAGTCCTACAGTAAAAAGTTTCCTACAGTTAATTCTATGCTGGGAGCACACGGTATGAAAATCGATATATAGATTATTACCAATAACAATAATTACAGGTAAAAATAAACAACAAAAAGAGAAAAAATCAATACATTTTGTTATATATGCACACCTTCAGCGAGATGTACCTATATAGCGCTGATTTTCAGGCGGCCCCTTACCTCATTCAACTTTAGCATTCATGCAGGTCGCCAATACCCATTTTTCAGTTAGAAGACTTAATACACTGATCAAAAAGAAAAAAAAAAAAAAAATAAACTCTGAATAGAAGATGATCACAATTGACAATGACATTATCATCTCTCTCTTTTTATTTAAGAGTTTCCTCTTGTCGGTGCAACTAATTCATGCATCTTCTTCCAGCCAGCTCTATCCCAGGCCATATCCTTGACCTCCCTATACGACATGACACCTAGTGTTTCTTTTATCTGTCCCATGTAGTTACTCCTCGGTCTTCCTTTTTAAGAGCATAGTAGAAGGAAAAATAGAGGGAAAAAGAGGAAGAGGAAGTCCGAGGACTAACTACATTATCATTATAAAAATAAAAAAAAAAGAAGTGAAGCGCCATGTACACATATATGGTGCGTTAAATCTGGTAATGAATGGTGCTCGGCAGCCAGGCGATGGCGCAGTCGGCGCGGCTGGGCGCGTGGGAGGCGCGGCTGGAGGCGCTGGCGGCCGCCGTCAGCTACCACACGCGCCGCATGCGCCGCACCGGCATCGCCCAGGTCGACAAGAAGGAGGTACGCGCTCTACAGCTTACACCTCTCTCCAACCACTTCCCAGCTTCCAATGTCTTGTTGCAGGGGGGAAAGGGATTGTTAGCAATGGAGTTTGACAGCCCCATTGCTAGCAATGTGCCCTATTAGGTCGACCTCCACGTGATTCCCTCTGGAAACCATCGTGAACAATTCTCGTTGAATTCGTCACGATGGACTAACTGATTGCTGCTTCATCCTCACCTATTGTCCTTCACTGGTGTCCCGCCGGTGTATACCGATAGCGCAGTATGGGGTTACCATTCCATTGTCACCCATTAAAAAAAATATTTTGTTTCCGGGTCCCAGCTATCTTCTATCGACTGAATCCTTCTTTACTGCTCCAAACTTCCCTGCTTTTAACTTCCATTACTCTGATTTTTGCTTGCTAAATTACTCGCTTCCATTATTCAACATCCTGGTTCCGGATTCCAAGTTATTGTTTTCCGTTCTTAGCCTTCTGATCCTAGGTTCCAACATTCTGATTCTCCTTCCAACTTTTTCATCGTCGCTCCCAACTCCCAAATCCCAGTTTCAACTTCATGGCTTCAGCTTCCAACTCTAATATCATTTACCTTACCTACCTTTGCATTATATAAAATAGAATCTTTATGAGTAGGTACGATAAACATAAAATATGTTCATAATCATAAAACATTTTCGTTGCCTAAACTACCCTCACGTTACTTGGCGTTGATGTTACAAAGTAGATACATTTCATTTCATTTTTGTACTGTCTATTTTGATGTAAAAAACTAACATTGGTGGGTGGCGATTGTCATTTATTTGTTTCACAGAATAACTAGTGTACTTTCTTTATTTTTCTGGTCTGATCTTAAGATTTAATATGTTCTAGTTGTTAAGCTATCACGTTGTGTGAGATCTATGTGTATACTCTCTGTATGTATCGAATCAGTTGTATAAAAATAAATATTATTATTATTATTATTTTCTCGTCATTTTCTGTTCTTAGATTCCAACTTTCTGATTACCACTCTTAATTCTCTGCTTTTAATTTTCATTCCCCTTCTTTCTTCGTACTTTCTGATCCTCTCTCCCATTTATTTATCTCCCGTTCTTAATTACCTGCTTCTCACTTCCGACTTCCTGTTGTTTCCTAGTGCCCTGCTACTTATACCATGGATCGACAACCTTTTCAGTCGAAAGAGTAAAAAATTACAATTGGCAAAATTTTAAAGTTATGGAGCCACAAAAATGTTTCATGCCAACAATAATAGATAACAAATAGTATTTGCATAAATAAAGTTTAGTGCCTAATCCTCGTTAATTGATTCAGTATGATATTTTTTTATAAAATAAATATTATTTGTGTATGGAACTAAAGAGTCGCAGTTTCACATCCAAAGAGCTGCACATAGCTCACGAGCCGTAGGTTGCCGACCCCTGACCTAATACCATTCTATAACATCAACATCATCATATCAGCTTTTAACTGTCCACTGCTGAACATAAGCCTCACCTTGGGGGGTTTTGCCAGTAGTTGCCACGCTTGGCAGGCGGGTTGGCAACCGCAGTTAGGCTTTTAGAGATGTTTTAAGAGGGACGCTGCTGCCCATTCCTCGCTTTCCTTTAGTCGATTCTTACGACGCCCACGGAAAAGGAAGGGGTGGCCTATTCTATGCTGGGACCATACGTCAAAACTATGTTAACTACTTAATAGGAAAAACCTCAAAATAATGGACAATAATGGGTCATTGTCCATTAAACAAACATTTATACACAATAGAAGCCACAGACAGCCCTCTATGTCGAGGCTGTTTCGACGCCGAAGAAACGGCTGCTCACGTAATCCTTAACGAATGTGAACCTGTGGCCCCTCAACGTTTAGATATCCTCGGAACGGTGAGGTCGCTCTGTGAGGCTTGTGAAGATTCCCAGGAAGCTTCTGTGCTTCTGGACGAAGTTGGGTTGGCTGTACTAGCCACGACTCATACGCACAACGGCCCAAATGACAGGCTAAGCGCGGAAAATAGAGTCCTATTTACATTATATTACAGTTGCCACGCTTGGCAGCTGTAACATATAGAGTATAAATACCAGTTGTAATTGTATGGCAGGTGGTACGCAAACTGGGCGAGCTGTTCGCCTTACGCCACACCCTCAACGTGGAGTCGGATCTGCTGGACACGCCGGACTTCTATTGGGAGCAGGAGGAGCTGGAGCGCCTCTACTCCAGCACCGTCGCGTACTTCACCATACCGAGGAGGACCAGGGTTAGTTTAATAATAATAATTGTGTTCGCATGGCTGCGTTTCGGTTTGAAGGGTGGGATATGACGTGAATTTACAGGGTACAGAGGAACAACACCTGAGTCCTCAGGAATAGCAACGCATGAGGGGTATCATGGGCGAAACAGTATACTCTGTTATGTCCATGGTACTGCTCATGTCTATAGGCGACGGTTACCACTTTCCATCAGGTGGGCCGTCAGCTTGTTTGCCATTCTAAGTTGTATAAGTCAATTCTCAAATGTTGGCAGTCACATGCACACGAGTGGTAGTGGAATTAAACAAAATAATCAACTAATCGGTGACAATAATGAGAAACGAGGATGTAGTCAAGTAATACATTCTCAATTGTCATTTCTCTCTGGTATCATCCGTTATAGTCCATGGGTTCAGAGGGGAAAGGACTACCAGTCTCATTCCTAGCAATATTACTACATATTACCCTGTCAGGTCAACCATCATCTGCTGAAACGATCATGCTGAATTCCAGGTATATTCTTCACGATGGGCTAACTGACCTATCTTTTTATTGTCACCTATCATCCCTCACTGGCGCCCTGCCTGTATATACCGTTAGTGCAGGAGGGGTTACCATTCCATTATTATTCATTAAAAAACCCATGGGTCCAGGGGGGAAAGGGATTGTTAGTAATGGAGACTAAGAATCCCATTGCTAGCAATACACCCAACCAGGTCGACCTCGCGGTTCCTCCTGGAAACTATCATGATTAATTCCAGATGAATTCATCATGATGGGCTAACTGGCCTGTTTTCATCCTCATCGATCATCATTCACTGGTGCTCCGCCAGCGTATCCCGTTAGCGCAGGCGGGGTTACCATTCCATTTTCATCCATAAAAAAAAACCCATGGGTCCAATGTGTACCTCAGACATCATTATGAATTAATAAAAAAATATTTCTATATTCTACCTATGTTTTCGATCTAAATTGTAACTTCCGCCCAGGTTCTGAACGAGCGGCTGGCCCACTGTGTGGAATTGCTGGAGCTGCTGTCCTCGTGGGCGGCGGACAGGCACCACGTGCGGCTCGAGTGGATGGTGATCGCTCTCATCCTGGCTGAGGTCTGCTTCGAGCTGATGCACTTCTACGAGAGGTACGCCATCAGGCACGCTGATGTTCTCACCTAGTTGCTGGTGGGTGCGGCCTTCGGGGATGATGACTTGGAGTACGCTGTGTTTTGAGTTGGTTAAATAATCTTAGACACTTATTAATGTAATAAACTAGCGTAGTCCCGCGGATCTGCTTGAATAACGTTAACAGTAATAGTATCTCAGTAATATTTTAGTAACATATATATAAAAAAAAGATTATGTACTCTCAGATATGTCTTTGTACATAATTGAAAGCTTCGCTCTGTCCTGGAGTGGGCATAAGACAGTTCTGTGCTGGGTATGGCCCATCTGGCCCCACTTAAATACACTTATGCAAGTGAAGATGCAGTCGGAGTTATTCATGTTTTAACCAACTCAAAATCTGTTATGCCTGGTAATGGGAATTATATGTGATATATTAGTAATACATAATATAATTATGTTATATTGTTCCTGTAAAAGTGATTGTATTTTAAGTGTATGTAAAATTGTATAATGTATGGGTAGTGTAATTAATTTTGTAGTATATTTATTATATTGTATGTTTTTTTAATGGATGAAAATGAAATGGTAACAACATTTGTACTATCGGTTTTTGTCAGCAAGGTACTAGGCGAGCATGAAATCAAGTTAGTTGGTCCATCGTGACGAATTAACAAGGAGACTTTGTACAAAAGTCGATTGCTTGGGCACCTCTGTCCCATTCGTGTTTCTACCGTGAAGCAGTTGTGTTTGCATGGCTCTGTTTCGGTTTGAAGAGTGGGATATGGCGTGAATTTACAGGGTACAGAAGAATAATATCTAAGTCCTCAGGAATGGCAACGCATGGGGGGTATCATGGGCGAAACAGTATACTCTGTTATGTCCATGGTACTGCTCGTGTCTATAGGCGACGGTTACCACTTTCTATCAGGTGGGCCGTCAGCTTGTTTGCCATTCTAAGTTGTATAAAAAAAATTACCACAATGGTTTTTTTTAATGGATGATAATGGAATGGTAACTCCGTCTACGCTATCGGTGTACACTGGTGGGGCACCAGTGAGGGATGATTGGTGAAGATGATAAGGCAAGTCAGTTAGCCTATCGTGGCGAATTTAACGATAAATTAGTCACGATGGTTTCCAGTGGGAATCGCGTGGAGATCAACCTGATAAGGTATATTGATAGCAATGGGGACTAACTTCCCCATTACTAACAATCCCTTCCCCCCTACCACGAGGGTTTCCCAGGGGTTAAGAAGATCAACCTGATAGCAGTGTGAACTAACCTCCCCTAACAGTGTGGAAAGGGATTGTTGACAATGGAGTTTGACAGCTCCATGGCTAGCAATATGCCCTCCTATTAAGTTGACCTCCATGTGGTCCCCCTGGAAACCATCGTGAACAATTCTTGTTGAATTCGTCACGATGGGCTAACTGACCTGCTTCATCCTCACCTATCATCCTTCACTGGTGCCCCGCCGGTGTATACCGATAGCGCGGATGGGGTTACCATTCCATTATCACCCATTAAAAAAAAAAACTTCTTCCAACAACTTGTTCTCCTCAGTGAGCAGTGATGGTTGAGGATGAAGCTGTTTGTAGATTTCATTGCATTTTAAAGCAGTTATTTTGTCAATTTATGCATTATGCTTCCTGTTAGACACAAGTGTGCCATATTTATTATATTTAATAATAAATTAAAAATAAATATACTAATTGTGCATGGGGGAATAGAATAACTGATATATTAAGATTAATACTTTATTATTATTATTATTTATTAATTATATGTAAGACATTTGTAATATAATAAATTTTTGTAACACATATGACTCTATATGCCTATAATTATATTTTTTTAATTAATTTCTATTTCGTGTTGTGTTTTTAATTATTTGTGTAGTTTTACGAATAAAAATAAGCAGTAGTTAGATAGATAGATACGATAAACACTTTATTTGAGCCATTTATGACACATGTAAATTAATTTATGAGTCCTCAGGAATGGCAACGCATGGGGGGTATCATGGGCGAAACAGTGTACTCTGTTATGTTCATGCTACTGCTCATGTCTATAGGCGACGGTTACCACTTTCCATCAGGTGGGCCGTCAGCTTGTTTGCCATTCTAAGTTGTATAAAAAAAATATACAATCAAATTAATTACACTTTTTTTTTAATGTAAAACAAAAGATGAAGTATGGAAATATGTTTTCGCCAAGTGTGTCGCAGTGACCGAAAATAGGCTACAGCTCAGTGATAGTTTTGCTTAAAAGCAAACCACTGATTTTCAGCTGCAGCCTGAAGTTAGCAATACGTAGAATCTAATATCGAAATAATATGTTATTTCAACTATATATTTTTTAAGCTACGCCCTAAGTATATATTTTTATACTTTGTAAACATATGTATATAAACTTATTTAGTTGTGATATAAATTTATTTATTAAATACAAAAATGTTTTGTTATGAAATAAATAAATGAATGTTTTCAAATATGTATATTTTATTGATCGAGGTATCTGAACCGACAGACAGAATGTGGTCGATTTTAGGATGTCATTTCTCTAAATCTATCTTTAAAAATTTTAATTTGATTTTATAACACAATAATTATTCTAAGGACCATATCGTCATAGTCGTAGAATACTGACGGATCTGACGAAGATTACATATAAAGATCCGTCAGTATTCTACCACTATGACGATATATAGATCCGTCAGTATTCTACGATTATGACGAAATAATTTATTAAATATGAGATATATTTTTAATGCATTCATATAAAAAAAATATTATAATTTTTCACGTAACTATGTGTTAATGATGTGCGTTTGCGTTTTGATGATGAACGGATGATATGATGACGATGATGATGAATAAATACACCTAGTATTTGAAGCGGTTTAACTAGGGCAAATAAAAATAAATTATTTTGAAGCGTTAATGTACCTAATATAAATTTGATATACAGCGCTGAAGGTTGTTTTGCAAGTAAGGTTACAGTTTGAAACCTGAAAGGTCATGTAAATTTCTCCTGCGTTATGATTGGCGTTCTCGCGATGTCGTGATGAGCGTCTCTTGTGACTGGTTTTTTTTTATGAGTGAAAATGGTATGGTAACCCCGCCTGCGCTAACGGGATACGCTGGCGGAGCACCAGTGAAGGGTGATAGACGAGAATGAAAACAGGCCAATTAGCCCGTCATGATGAATTCATCAGGAATTAACCATGATAGTTTCCAGGGAGAACCGCGTGGAGGTCGACCTGGTTGGGTATATTGCTAGCAATGGGATTCTCAGTCTCCATTACTAACAATCTCTTTCCCCCCTCTTGTGACTGGTTGATGTTGTGTGTGATCGTCTATTAATGACTTAGCAGTCGCTTTACCGCTGAAAACGCTTCATCATACGTAGCAGTGATGAATATTCATGACATATTGTTAATGCTTTAAGACTATGAAATTAAAGTTTTTTTTTAATGGATGATAATGGAATGGTAACCCTGCCTGCGCTATCGGTATACGCTGGCGGGGCACCAGTGAGGGATGATAGGTGAGAATGAAAAGACAGGTCAGTTAGCCCATCGTGGTGAATACACGTGGAATTCGGCACGATGATATTTCCAGGGGAGACCACGTGGAGGTCGACCTGATAGGGTATATTGCTAGCAATAAAACTGGCATTACTAACAATCCCTTCCCCCCATTTAAAGAATTAAATTAACAGATAGATTTAGAGAAATCGTACCTGAGAATCGATTCCGTTGTCCTGTCTAAATTCTATTTTTTTTTTTTCCTAAAAACAGCTCTTTCTTGCATGGTTGTTTTTCGGTTTGAAAGGTGAGAGGTGACAGTAAAGTTACTGGTCATTCTCGACTTCAGATCTTCATGTCACAAGGGTTGTTAAGACAAGAGTGATCTGGTGTTGGAGGTGTTCATGGGCTGGGTAGTCACCATAAGGCGGGCCGTATAAATAAATACTCTTAAATATAATACACAGTTCCATTTGGTTCCAAACTACATAAACAAAGATTATACTGCGGATAAGCAATTGATAGACATAACTAAATACATATTATATGTCCCGTGTGGTCCCGGCATAGAATAGGCCACCCCTTCCTTTCCCATGGTGTCGACTACTAAAGGAGGACGAGGGATGGGCAGCAGCGTTCTTTTTTTTTTATACAACTTAGAATGGCAAACAAGCTGACGGCCCACCTGATGTGAAGTGATTGCTTGGATACCTCTGTTCCATTCGTGTTTCAACCGTGAAACAGTTGTGTTTGCATGGTTGTGTTTTGGTTTGAAAGGTGGGATATGGCGTGAATTTACTGGGTACAGAGGAATAACATCTGAGTCCTTAGGAATGGCAATGCATGCGGGCATCATGGGCGTAACAGTATACTCTGTTATGTCCATGGCACCGCTCATGTCTATAGGCGACGATTACCATTTTCAATCAGGTGGGCCGTCAGCTTGTTTGCCATTGTAAGTTGTATAAAAAAAAATGTAATTGGTAGATCGTACAGGGTTTCGTCAGTAAACAGTAGATCTTGGGTCTAGTCAAGTTGGCCACCCCTGCAGTATACCACCACGGTTGTCTTTAGTTTGTTTTTATGGGTGATAATGGAATGGTAACCCCACCCGCGCTATCGGTATACACCGGCGGGGCACCAGTGAAGGATGATAGGTGACGATGAAGGCAGGTCAGTTAGCCCATCGTGATGAATACAACAAGAATTGTTCACGATGGTTTCCAGGGGGAACTACGTGGAGGTCAACCTAATAGGACATATTGCTAGCAATGGGGCTGTCAAACTCCATTGCCAACAATCCCTTTCCCCCCGGTTGTCTTTAGTTATATGCGATGCTTCAAAGTCATCCTTTTACAGAAAGAAAACCACTCATCCTTTCATTGTCTGATGCAGGAGTCATACTCGGGAACGCCCCAGAGGCTTCGACCGTCCTACCTTCACCAGCGAACTGGAAGAGAATCTATTCCAAGACTTATCAATAGTGGACACGTAGGGGAATATTAAGAGAACGTGTTTTAAGTGTTGCGTGTTCAAAATATTATCAAGGACTATCTTAGTGCATGAAGAGAGAATGGCAACCCCACGTGCTAATGGTTTAGTGAGGGATGAGTTTTTAATATACATGAATTTACTGGGTACGGAGGAATAACACCTGAGTCCTCAGGAATGGCAACGCATGGGGGGTATCATGGGCGAAACAGTATACTCTGTTATGTCCATGGTACTGCTCATGTCTATAGGCGACGGTTATCACTTTCCATTAGGAGGGCCGTCAGCTCGTTTGCCCTCTAAGTTGTATACAAAAAATGTGTAAATGGAATGGTAACCCCGCATGCGCTATCGGTGTACGCTGGCGGGGCACCAGTGAGAGATGATTGGTGAGGATGAAAGCAGATAAGTTGGCTCACAATGATGAATTCTGCTAGAATCCACCACGGTAGTTTCCAAGTGAAACCGCGTGGAGGTCGACATGATGGGATACGTTACATACTAGCCATGGGGCTAATAGACTTTATTAACCCTTTGATCGCGTATTTTTCCGCTTCATTTCCGCACTTTGCTTTGACAACAAATAGCAGTACGGGATGCACGCTCAGAGGGTTACAATCCATGTGATGATAGGTGAGGATGAAGCCAGACCAGTTGGTTCAACGTGAAGAATTAACCATTATACATGCCAGGGAGGGAGGCCACGTAGAGGTCGATCTGATGTGGTATTTTTTTTTTTAATGGAAGACAGTGAAATGGTTACCCCGCCTGTGTTATCAGCATACACTGACAGGGCACCAGTGAAGGGTGATAGGTGAGGATGAAGCAGGTCAGTTGGCCCATCGTGACGAATTCAACAAGAATTGTTCACGATGGTTTCCAGGGGGAACCATGTGGAGGTCGACCTAATAGGGCTATATTGTTATCAATGGGGCTGTCAAACTTCATTGCTAGCAATCCCTCCCCTTCTATCGACGATCTTCATGGCGCAGTGACTGTGCTTTGCATATTTGAGGTCCCGTATTCGAATCTCTGTCCCGCCATTTTGTTATATGATATTTTCTATATTTGCCCATTCATGACTGGTTCTTAATGGGTGATAATGGAATGGTATACGCTGGCGGGGCACCAGTGAGGGATGATAGGTGACGGTGAAAGCAGGTCAGTTAGCCCATCGTGACGAATTCAACAAGAATTGTTCACGATGGTTTCCAGGGGGAACCATGTGGAGGTCGACTTAATAGGGCATATTGCTAGCAATGGGGCTGTCAAACTCCATTGCTAACAATCCCTTTCCCCCCGCTCATGGTTAGGTTAGGTATATATGAAATGTCGGTAGGTTTAGTGTTAAAATATTTGGTTTTAATGTAATAAATACCGGTTTAATTTATCTCTGACGGTCCCCGAGTGTCTACAGCTTGCGCTCAGTGAGCCGAGGCGCGCATTCAGCCTCGCGCCGCGTCACAGCCGCTCATGATTAAGGATCACGAATTGATCCTGAAACTAGTCTAACTTTCTCTAGATAATTATACTAATAATAGGATCTTCATCGTGCCTCTAATCAAACAGTTTATAATTACTCCTCACCATCCAAAGGTTGCCTGGAAGAGATCGCTCTTAGCGATAAGGTCGCCCATTGTTCTCTCATTGTGATTATTTCTTGTAATCGTTTATATCGATAATAAGTTTACTATTGTAATCTTATGGAGGAAACAATAAAGAGTATCTATCTATCTATCTGTGTATACGTAAGCTAAACCGGCAGTTATTATATTAAAATATAATATGTCCTTTGTAAAATCAAATGTTTGCTAAACTCTTAACAATAAAATTGATTTGTGTATATAGAATAAAAATAAATAATTAATAATGTTGTAATAAAAAAAATATAGAATCATGTACAATACTTTTATTTGTCCCGTGTCGGTCCCAACATAGAATAGGCCGCCCCTTTATTTCCCATGGGTGTCGTAAGAGGCGATTAAGGCAGGGCGAGGGATGGGCAGCAGCGTCCCTCTTAAAACATATCCAAAAACCAACCAACCAACCAGCCAAAAGCTTGGTAAGTACTGGTAAAATCCCCCAAGAAGGAGACTCATGACCAGCAGTGGACAGTTAATGGCTGACATAACATTGATGATATACTCGTCACATCGAAATACAGCCATGACAAGGCAACAGCTTCATGACAGAAATACGAATGGGCTAGACATACCCACTCAAAGAAGCAACTGCTGAGTTTATTGCCCGTTCTTTTTAGCTGAAATTGCATTCCGAATGGGCGGTAATGAAAAAAAAAAGACTATTCAAAAATGACTTCAAAAATGACTATTCAAAACTGACTTCCAAAATGACTATTCCAAAATGACTATTCAAAATGACTATTCAAAAATGATTATTCAAAAATGACTTCAAAATGACTATTCAAAAATGACTATTCAAAATGACTATTCAAAAATGACTATTCAAAATGACTATTCAAAATGACTATTCAAAAACGACTATTCAAAATGACTATGCAAAATGACTATTCAAAATGACTATTCAAAAATGACTATGAAAAAATGCCTTCGAAATGACTATTCAAAAATTACTATTCAAAAATTACTCCAAAAATGACTATTCAAAAATGACTATTTAAAATGACTATTCAAAATGACTATTCAAATATTACTATGAAAAAATGACTTCGAAATGACTATTCAAAAATGACTATTCCAAAATGACTATTCAAAATGACTATTCAAAAATGATTATTCAAAAATGACTTCAAAATGACTATTCAAAAATGACTATTCAAAATGACTATTCAAAAATGACTATTCAAAATGTCTATTCAAAATGACTATTCAAAAATGACTATTCAAAATGACTATTCAAAATGACTATGCAAAATGACTATTCAAAATGACTATTCAAAAATTACTATGAAAAAATGACTTCGAAATGACTATTCAAAAATTACTATTCAAAAATTACTCCAAAAATGACTATTCAAAAATGACTATTCAAAATGACTATTCAAAATGACTATTCAAAAATTACTATGAAAAAATGACTTCGAAATGACTATTCAAAAATTACTTCAAAAATGACTATTCAAAAATTACTTCAAAAATGACTATTCAAAACTTACTTCAAAAATGTCTATTCAAAAATTACTTCAAAAATGTCTATTCAAAATGACTATTCAAAATGACTATTCAAAAATGACTATTCAAAAATGACTTCAAAAATGACTATTCAAAAATTACTTCAAAAATTACTTCAAAAATGTCTATTCAAAATGACTATTCAAAATGACTATTCAAAAATGACTATTCAAAAATGACTTCAAAAATGACTATTCAAAAATTACTTCAAAAATGACTATTCAAAAATTACTTCAAAAATGACTATTCAAAATTGCCTAAATCTAAGTTTACTTGAATTAAAATAATTCTTATCATGAAGATTTATTTGTACATAGCTTACTGATGCTTGTATAATGAAATTGTGACTAGACGACGGGATCTACATGGGAGATATTTAAGAAAAAATAATAATACAAGGTTTTTTAATAATGATTACCATTATGAAAAATCGATATTTTTAGTTTGTCTATTAGTTTGCATGTTTGTTCCGGTAGCACGCAAAAATTACTGCATCAAATTCGATGAGGTTTTCACCGTTGTATTTCTAAAGGTCTAATTTAAAATCTGGTGTATGCTTCATGTCCATAGGCCATCTAGAAGTAATCCTTGGCTTTCTAACAAAGTAGCATCCAAAAGTATTTTTTTCTTTTTTATTTCTTTCTATTGATGATAATGGAATGGTAACCCCGCCTGCGCTAACGGGATACGCTGGCGGGGCACCAGTGAAGGGTGATAGATGAGAATGAAAACAGGCCAGTTAGCCCATCATGATGAATTCATCAGGAATTAACCATGGTAGTTTCCAGAGATAACCACGTGGAAGTCGACCTGGTTATGTATATTGCTAGTAATGGGATTTTTGTCTCCATCACTAACAATCCTTTTCCCCCCAAAAGGCCAGTTAATTGTTTAATAACAAAATACGACATGTTTTGAAAAAAAAAAACAATGACAATACCCTCACACGTTTCCGATACAATAACAAAAGAATAAAAACTACATAAAGGTGCTTGTACGTCGGTGAGTTCTCGTGAACACGACTCGTCCGTCGTGAGGTAACGCCATGCCGCCGGAAATGTTGCCTCCGATGTAGGGTTGCCAACTGTACTGTTACAAACAGATTTTTTTTTATTGGATAAAAATAGAATGGTAACCCCGCATGCGCTATCGGTATACGCTGACGGGGCACCAGTGGTAACCAATAGGTGAGGATGAAAGTAGGTCAGTTAGCCCACCGTGACGAATTCCACTAAAATTAACCACGATGGTTTCTAGGAGGAACTACGTGGAAGTCGGCCTGATAAGGTGTATTACTGGCAATGGGTGAGTTAGACCCCATTACTACAATCCCTTTCCCCCACAAACAGTATTATACTGTTTTTCACTACTTCATACTTTTTACTGTTGAACAAAAATAAACTTTAAAAAATACTGTTTCAAGGATCAAAATGCTTTACACTATAAGTGTTAGAGACTTACAGATGTTTTTTTCAGTTAGAGGGCGCTCAGTGCAGATTAATTTTATAAAAAACGAGCTACGCATTTATTTTTTGTTATAATTGTGGTAAGGCATGTATTTTAAAAAAAAAAATACTGTAAATTAATAAGTTGTGTAATAAGTTTTAAAAATATGTATTTAAAACATTAAATACATAAATTACTGTTAATTTTTCTAAAACACTGTTTAATATTCTTCTCAGACCTAAATATAGTTTATTACCTCCACGTGGTCCCCTCCGAAAACTATCATGCTGAATTCCAAGTGTATTCATCACGACAGGCTAACTGACCTCCCCTTTCATTCTCACTTATCATCACTCAGTGGTGCCCCGCCAGCGTATATCGTTAGCGCAGGCGGGGTTACCATTAAAAAAACATATAGTTTATTTATTGTAAAAAAAGTTGGCAACCCTTCTCCGATGTCCTATATAGGTAGGTACTGAATAGGCACACTTGTATTGAATACGTTAAGGGACTAATGTACCTAGTTTGTTTTTTTTTTGAGCAAATAGAGTGACAAGTTTGTCTGTGGTATTGTATCGGTATACGCTGACGGGGCACCAGTGAGGGATGATAGGTGAGGATAAAACTAGAGGGCCCACCGTGAAATGTTTTCCGAAATTTCGCGGCCAAATATTACACAAATTTGATGTTAAATTTACATAATCTAATATATGAAATTCTCGTGTCGCGGTGTTTGTTACCAAACTCCTCCGAAACGGCTTTACCGATTTTTATGAAATTTTGTTTGCATATTGGATAGGTCTGACAATCAGCCAACATCTATTTTTCATATCCCTCAATGATAAGGGTGACCTACTCTTAAATATATATTTTTTTTATTTTTTTGACAATTTTTTTTATATTATTACGATTTAGCATTGAAAAATACATACAAATTCAAATTTTCACGCTTTTACGATCAACCCCTGTTGTTTAATCGCGATTTTTATATACCGCAATAGGGTTGCAAGATGGCAATCGAATATAATAATTGTAGTACGATAAATTTTCATGTATAGTTCTAGAAATAACGTATATGGTAAAACAACGTTTGCCGAGTCAGCTAGTATATAATATAATTGTTCCCGTTTTCTATAGTTGAAACTAGTAGCATATAAGGTAACGCTGCGCGTAGCAACTAACGGTGTACCATTTTATAACAATTACTTAGTTATAAAGCTTATTATAGTCAATGCAACGTGAATTGTATTACTGTTGCTGTGCCTAAATGAATAAATAAATAAATAAATATCGTTTAGAAATATTTAAAATAATAAAATAGCGTTCTTTTTTACTTTTACGGTAGGATTTATGATGAACAAAATGTTAATCTCCATTTGTTGGATCGATTTCGGTGTTTTTTTTTTATATACAACTTAGAATGGCAAATAAGCTGACGACCCACCTGATGTGAAGTGGTCACCGTCGCCTATAGATATGAGCAGTACCATGGACATAATAGAGAAAACTGTTTCGCCCATGATACCCCCATGTGTTGCCATTCCTGAGGACTCCACGTGGAGGTCGACCTGACAGGGTATATAGCTAGCAATATACTAATTATCCCTTTCCCCATTATAGGCCTGTTAAATCTCATTACAAAGCTAAAAAAAACAACCGAATTGACAAGAACCTTCTTTTTGGAATCGCTTTAAAAATCAAAAGCAGGTCAAAACTGTTTAATAATTACCATAACTTACAGGGAAAAAAATTGTTGAATGGGATAGTTAATAATATTGTTAGCAGATATATTGCTAGCAATCTGTCAGGTCGACCTCCACGCGGTCCACCCTGAAAACCAACATGATTGACAAGTGAACTCATCACGATGAGACAACTCTTAAGTTCCCTCCATGCGGTTCTCCCTAAAAACCATCGTGATTTATGTGTTATTCAGTTCATCACAATGAGCTGACCTAGGAATCTACCATGAAATGAAACTTAATTTCGCGTTTTCATTCACATCTTTGTCCCATTCGTGTTTCAACCGTGAAGCAATTGGAACCAGTTTGAAGGGTGGGATATGGCAGTGAATTTACTGGGTACAGAGGAATAACACCTGAGTCCTCAGGAATGGCAACGCTTGGGGTGTATCATGGGCGAAACAGTATACTCTGTTATGTCCACGGTACTGCTCATGTCTATAGGCGACGGTTACCACTTTCTATCAGGTGGACCGTCAGTATTTTTTGTTTGTTT